TTCGTGGCCCCTATCAGGTTTTTTCAATGGCTTAGAGGCTTAGAGACATGCGTGCATACCTGAGTGACAGACTCTGATTTCTGTTGCTCCGTGAATCAATGCCTTTCTACCTGCGTTTCGATTTATCTGCATTACATCTTGCTTCACATCTCTCTGCCTCTCTGTCGTTCTCTCTCTCTCTCTCTCCATCTCTCTCCCTCCCATCCCTCTCTGTTTGTCTTTGACCTGGGCTGTCGTGAGGACGTCAGTCTCGATGATGCAAGAGGTCTTGGGCCATGGTCTTTTCCCGTTCGACGATGGTGCACAGTGTATATGGGCGCCAGTTACGGGTCCGATCCTTCGTACCGAGCTTCTGCCGAACATTTTGGGCGTCTCTTGGCTCAGAACGGCATCGGACTGTTGTACGGCGGCGGGAATGCAGGACTAATGGGTGCTGTGGCGGATGCAGTGCTGAGGGAAAGTGGTTATGTCATCGGAGTTCGCCCAGAAGGCAACTTGCTGACAGCAGAGCATGAGCATAAAAACTTGTCTCATATGATTTTCACAAAGACAATGCATGAACGCAAGCAGACTATGGTCGATTTTGCCGACCTTCTTGTGGCACTCCCCGGTGGCTTGGGAACCCTTGATGAGCTGGCCGATGCTGTTGTTCTTGCCCATCTGGGCACGCACAGCAAACCACTTTATCTTCTAAACACCACCTTCTGGGCACCCCTCCTGAAGTTTATCGAGAACATGGAGACGGCGCAGTTTCTCGGAGCCGGGCGCTGGGGCAAACTGGTGAAGGTTGTTGACAGCGCCGAGGACATAATCCCAAGCCAGCGGGAAAGGATCGAATCAGCGGCCGAGGCCCCTGAGGCCGAGGCAAGTCCGTGCTCTTTCTTGCAGCTGGAAGTCGTCAAGACTCGCAGCGACGGCTGCCCTTTCCAGGTTGGCTTTCTGCCGGCTTTGGCAGCCGGATGTCTCTCCGCAGTCTTGATCGCCTCCTTCGGTGTGCACTCCACATCTGTATCCTCAGGCCGCTGTATTGTGGACCTCTTCATGCTGATTACGGTTCTGGCTGCAACCTCCCGCATGAGCAGCGTTCCAGATTCACATGCCCTTGCCATTGCTCTTGGCCAAAGAGTTTCCTGGTCAGGCCTTTACCTTGGCATTTCCAAGTGGGGCGACATGATCGGGAATCTGTTGTGTGCTTTCCCCCTCAATTATTGGTCGGACTTCTGGCGCAGCAGCAGTCGCCAGGCAATGATTTTCGGTATGACTGTGATGTCAGCAGGGTCAGCGCTCTGCCTGGTGACGCTCTCGCGAGTGTCAGAGGACTCTGGCGTCAGGGATTCTTCAACGCTGCCGATTCTCCTTTGTGTGTCCCGCGCCATCATCGGAGTCGGCAACGGCATCGTGACGCAGCTTGTGATTGTGCTCCTGTCGAAGTTGACGCCGCCAGACGACTTGCCTCAAGAGTTCCAGCGCGCGATCTTCTATGTCACCGTCGGGACAGGTCTGGGCCCCTTGGCCTCTGCAGCAGGCTACAGCTTGGATGTTTGCTCTACCACGGCACCTCAGTTTAAGATAGTTGGTAGCTGATTCTGCTATCGTCCGGGTTGTGCGCGGTCCTGCTCTTCTACCCATCCGAAATAGGCAGCAAAGATGTCCATGTCGCAGAAGTTTCAGAGCACGAAGATGCACCGCTCAACAGGATTCCCATTATAGCAGGCCTGGTGCTGTGCGCACTGCGCAGTTTTGTTGCTGGTTCCGTTGAGGTGGGCACACCACTTCTTCTGGAGGACCGTTTTGGTTGGAGCATAGCTACGACAGGATTGATCACAGGTGCTGCATTTCTCGTGGGTATTCCGATCAGGTTGGCTCAGATGAGTGCTGGGCGTCAGCTGAGTGAGGTTGCTTGGATCCGCTTATTAACGGTGGCTGCAACACTGGGCACTGTGCTCCTTCTCCGTGCAGCTAGCAAGTTGCTGCCTGGTGGCTACTCGCTTGTTCTTGGGGACATGATCATTTTCCCATCCATCTACTTGAGCGAAGGGCTGGCGCAAGGATTCATGATGCGATTTGTGCCCCACGGGGGCTCAAACCTGTTCTTCGAAGCGAGTTCAATCGCTCTGATCATGGACATGCTGATCAACGCTTTCCTGGGCCTGGGTGCCGTGGGAGCCCGGAGTATCATTGAGGCTGGAGGAGAACGGGGACAAGATTTCAACGCCGGCATGCAACTTCTTTGCTGTGTTATATTCCTTGTCATTTTTGAGCTTGGCATGGCCCGCTATGTTCATTGTGACAGCAAGAGCGAGTAAGCGAGCAAGGATCCGCTGAACAGCTCTATGTGCATTAAAAAACACCTGACATCCCCTGTTTTGATCCCCTCCGGCCCGCTTACCGTTGAGGCTGGAGGAGAAGGGGCACAGGTTTTCAAAACCCGCATGCAACTTCTATGCTGTGTTTTATTCCTCATTTTTGAGCTTGGCATGGCCCGCTATGTTCATGACAACAAGAGCGAGTAAGCGAGCAAGGATTCGCTGAACAGCTCTATGTGCATCAAAATTCACCTGACATCTCTTGTTGCGACCTGTCGGGGCCGCTTGCCGTTGATGATATCTAGGTTTCGGTGGCTCTGCTGCCAAATCCAAACCTGGTTTTAGACCGACTGGCAGCCTGACGAGGCAGAAAAAGCTGGCCAGAATCTGGGCGCATACCCAAATCAATCGATGCAGGTGAGGGAGGAGAGAGCTGCACAGGAGAGGCAGACGTGTATCAGGTTGCTCATCGGCTCTCTGATGAAGGAAATAGATGAGAGGTCATTGAAGACCTGAAAGGCATTCTGCCGGGGAACTGGGAGCGAGAACTTTAGGAATGCATCGATAGCCCGCATCACCACACTGCAACAGCAACTTTGGACCAGAAGAGGATCTGTAGCAAGAAACTCAGCGATATTGCCGATATGTGCCCAGGTTGACAGAAGCATTAGGACCAAGAAGCCGTCTGGTTTACCCCTCAAGTTTTCCGAGACAAAACGGTCAGCAAAGGAAGACCGCTGTGCTTTGCGGCAGCCATGCCGGCGCGACCTCCAATTTCGATGGGCATGTGCGCAAGCTGATTTTTAACACGGTTGGACACCTCACCTTGGGCAGGATCCGCTATGCACAGGTATGACCCGGATAATCACCGGGATGCATCCAAGCTGTCCATTGTCAAGAAGGAGAGCAAGGCTAGACCCTGCGAGGTCCTGCAAGTCTAAGGCAGTATTCTTCACGACAGCACAACCATGTCCTTTCATGGCTTAAAGGGATTGCGGAATCCCGGAACGCTGCGGAACAGAAGACACATCAGTGATGAATTGTGCAGCAGCATGCACGCTGAAATGGGACTTGATGTCCAGCTTGTCTTTGGCGCATGCCTTCTGGTGGGATTTTAGAAGATGCCGCCTCCAAATCTGGATTGTTTGGTGATAGACATCTAGGTCAATCTAGTCCTTGTGCGACAGTGCAATGCTCAGATGTTCCTTGATCCGGTGCAGGCGGAGGAAGAGATGAGCAAAACTATGCGGGAGATCGAATTGAAGATCCACAGTACCGGCGAGGCCCGCTGCAACCTCGAAAGGGGTCCGCACACTGACATGCCATGTGCTCTTTGGCTGCCGTAACCTAATTAACCTCCGTGCAGACATCGCTCAGACAAGCCTGGCAAGCATGCATGCCCTGGCTACTGACAGCAGAGTGCAATGAGCACGGGGCAGACAACGTGAAGCACGCGGGAGAGGACACCGAGAAAGTCGGTTTTACAAGGTACCACGCTAGCGGCTGGCTGAGTGGCCACACGAGCAGGCATGCCACTGCCAAGCTCTTGAAAACGAGATAGTCATCTCAGCTCTACTAGAAGGGGGGTTGCAATGCCTGCCCTAGCACGTGTGCTGCTGCAGACCTTTTCGATGCCGGCAATGGTCTGTACAACGGCAATGTCCTGAGAGCTGGATGGGCTGTTGGGATCCAGAAAGATAGGTTCATGCTAAGGAATATCAGTGTAGCCTGGGAATGAAGCGCGTTTAGAGCGTGATGATTCCTGCATGTTGATGTCAATTCGGCATGTGCCGAGCTCGCCAACCTGACAATTTAATTCGTGGTTCAAGAAGTCTCGTGGCCGAGGTCTGGGACATCAAGCTGATGCTTTCTGAGAGACTGGGCATGGATCCAGGTGGGCGGCGGTCACGGCTGGCTATAATTTGTCCCTTGTAAGTCTGCGATCGCGTGGGTCAAGGTTTCACCAGTTGGCCGCGCCACATTGCCGCTGGAATCAGAATTGTCTCGACGTTCGCTCGTTTGCTGCATGCTTCACGAATCATGGCAGCGACCCTTGCCGGGATTAAGCCTGAGACTCGTTGCTCGGAAGACCGCTTATTGATCCAGCCCAATGCCCATGCAGGTCAGATCACCTTCGTCACGAAACAAGGCATGGTTGGCGTTGCTTTGACATTGGCATGTAGTCGGGTATTGTCAGCAATGAAGCGAACATGCGATTTAATGTGTCTAGGGCATTCCCGCGCAACAGGCTAGCATTTGTCCATCGCGTTTCGGCATCCCAGCAACCTAGAAGAGAAGCTTGCTCACTGCACCAGATCCAGAGACGTTGAATGCAAAATTTGGTCCGGCAGAGATACACCGGCAGAATCCAGTTCTGCCCAAGTAGCGAGGCTGATGCAAAGGATACTTTTCATGGAACCAACGTGACCTCAAGCAGCGGGAGCAGACCGATGGGTCCAAATTTCGGAAGCGTAAAGAAAGCTGAGTCGAGTACGGCGTCCGAAGCTGCGACACTTCTGCAGGCCCCTTCTGGAGGGAAAACAAAGACCCCGAAGAGATCGCCCGCAAGGCACGCTTGACACGGAGCCTGGGTGGTCCTGTCATTGGGAGATACCGTGTTATTCGATGTATGTGTCTGTGTCTGCATATACATATCTATATAAATATAAAAAATAAATAAATAAATAAAAATAAATAAATAAATAAATAAATATATATATATATATATATGTGCGTGCGTGTGTGCGTGCCGGATGGGGTTTGGGCGGAAAGGTGTTCTGAGAGCTTGAAGATCCAGCCCAGAGTGACACGTCTTGCGCCGCTTTCTTTGCTCAGGTCTTGGTGAAGGGCATCAGGTCGTTTGAGCGTCCTGCTCCAAGCCTCGATGTCAAAAGTCGTGCCTCCGACAGTGTGACATCCTACCATGGTGGACTCTCTTCCTGTTGCACGACTTGAACTCTATGGGGTCGGAACTAAGGTCAAAGACCAACGCATGAGCATCCTTTCGTGCCTTGGGCTGCCTTTGCACGCCTGTCACAGGGGAGGAGTTTACGCTGAGTATCGAAGCGCCATTTCAGATGTCTGTTTCGGCTGGGGTCTCCGGCACCAGCTAGAGTCAGCTAGAGACCATAGGACAAGTGACAGCTGCCACTGTTGCCTTAAAAGACTTCATGCCATCCATTTTTTTGTGGAGCCTCATCTTCCATATAGACCCACCGCAACAAAGCAATTGTGAATAAATGTAGCTATGTCAAAGATGATGCTTTAATGCTGACCAGATGCCGTGGCTTCGGGCTTCCTGATCCTGAACTAAACTAAAGCATGTTTCAAGCAGGGGGCTTCCTGTCAGTTGTTTAGGACTGACACGTTAGTAAAGCCCTCGAGGTTATGCAGTACTTTCCACTGGTCTATTTCCTGGGGCCTGCTTGGCTACCTGCTTTCGAACTTCGTGTTTTGGGCAGTCTTGTGGCAGGTGAAAAGGGGTAGAGCCAAAGAGCCCCACAAGCGTGTAGGTGAGTCTTTGCTTGAAGTCGACAGATTTATGAGAAGTCTGGATATTGATCTGCCATAGTCCGAGCCCGTTTGAGTCATTGAGTGCAGCTGCCGAGTTTCCGGGCATTTAGGGCAGTTCCGCGGCCTGTGTTCATCCCTTTACCATGGCTCTACCTGTACTATGTGTGAGGTCGTTATTGGTGCCGGTCACATCGGTCTTCGCCAGGCCGGGCCTCCGTAGTGATCTCTCAAGACCCGTCGCTGGGGCCTCCGACTCGCTGTGAGACTGCCAGGCAGCTGCCCTGTAGTTAAAGCTCACCTTGTCGTGGTGAGGCCATGGTCTTCTTGAAGTACGGAGAGTGCGCCACCTCGAGCTCAGTGAAGTCGTAGGCATTAGCTTCCCGGATCGGCATGATACAACTCCTGCTGTCAATCGTTGAGGAGCTGCTAGGGAATTCTGTGGCGGCTGTGTTGAGTTTACTCTTTGGAGCAACCGAGCCCGTGATTTTCCAGACCGACCTGGACCTCCCGACCTGCCCGGGATCTGAGTCCAAGCTGCAGGTCCAACTTCGTGATCTTCGATCGAAAGCCGAAGGCGCATCCTCAAGACTCTTCCACTTGAGAGCTTGGGCTATCTGGCGGGACATGAAGAGGTTGGAGGCATGGCTTGGTGGGACCAGGCAAACGTGACGCCAGGGTCCCAGTCGAGAGGGTGACCTGTTGCCCAGGGACGCGTCCAAGCAATGCTGAGGTCCAAACTTCAGACCGAGCTGGGCGTCTACCACC